TCACTTTATATGTGGTGATATTGTCACTGTATATGTGGTGATATTTATCAATAAAACAAGTTGAGCAGACATTTTCACATGTTTATTGATAACATCAAATTCGTTAACAATCAGCAAATTAAATTAAGCATACCAACATTTTAAAGACAGGTAACTGATGTCAACAAAATCAAAGGTAAATATTTCATTAAAGAAAATCTTGTTACAGAGGTCATGATATCTGTGATTAACATTTGAAAATGCATCAAACTCCAAGCAAACAATCACCAAGGCCGGCAAGGCCAACAAGTGAAAAAAACTATGTTGGAAATCTTGAGTATGACTGGTGAAAACAAGGAAACTTTCAGTGAAATCATTTACACCCTGTGTTACGTGTTGACCAAATAATTCAATCAGGTGCATCAAACATCAAACAGAGATTGAGTGGAGGCTTCAATACTCTTTTACTCCACTACAACGTGAAGCTTGTCGGTAGGCTTGAAGCAGCAGGAGGCAGTACACTACTATATACCAAATTACAAACAAAAGTTGGAACCAAGAACAAAATAGGACATTGAGGACACCATTTGTGAAATCTTTTTTTTAGGTAAAGATAATGTTTTACCAAATCGTTTATGGGAAATGAGTATACCATATTGGTATGATAGCTACAGATACCTTTTTATTAGTGGTATGATGAAATACAAATATCAAACATCGTGATCTAGACAGAATTTCTCAGTTCTTTTTTTCAACATATAACATTATTTGCATCATTAAATCTCTCTATTGAACAGATGTGTTGTTCAAACTCAACTTTCTCAGAAAGTACTTTTCATTAATTTTAATATAAATGAAACCATGAATATATGAGAGAAATAGGTTGTATCACATTATATTTTAAGGTTACATGAAAATTGTCATTTTACATGAATTAATGCCACAAATCTTGATTATGTGATAAAAAGGATCTTACACTTGTTTTCATTTCATATGAAATTTATGAAACTCGTTACCAATTTTTCAATTTAGCTCGCCAGAGGCTTGCTAAATTGAAATTTTTGTAAGACTAATTTCATAAATCTCACATGAAATGGAAACTCATGTAAGATTCTATATATATTGATGACACACACTTCCCTTAAAATCTAAGTACACAAATTGATAAAAAAGTAAATAAATTGTATGCATGGTTATCCCTGCCACCGGAACTCACACAACCATGGACACCTGTAAGTCCAGTATGGTCTACACTAGTGACAGAATTAAGGGTCCTTGTCCACTGCTGGCTAAACACTAGAGAGTTCCACTTGGGATTTTAGTTTACACAGTGACCTCCCATTCATTTCCTTTTTCTATATAACTGTAGCACAATTAGGCCAACGAACCTTCATGGACCAGATAGCTTAATTGGTTAGTGACAGTATAACAATTGGTTAGTCCAATTGGTTAGTGACAGTATACCAATTGGTTAGTGACAGTATACCAATTGGTTAGTGACAGTATACCAATTGGTTAGTGACAGTATACCAATTGGTTAGTGCCAGTATACCAATTGGTTAGTGACAGTATACCAATTGGTTAGTCCAATTGGTTAGTGACAGTATACCAATTGGTTAGTGACAGTATACCAATTGGTTAGTGACAGTATACCAATTGGTTAGTGACAGTATACCAATTGGTTAGTGACAGTATACCAATTGGTTAGTGACAGTATACCAATTGGTTAGTGACAGTATACCAATTGGTTAGTGACAGTATACCAATTGGTTAGTGACAGTATACCAATTGGTTAGTGACAGTATACCAATTGGTTAGTGACAGTATACCAATTGGTTAGTGACAGTATACCAATTGGTTAGTGACAGTATACCAATTGGTTAGTGACAGTATACCAATTGGTTAGTGACAGTATACCAATTGGTTAGTGACAGTATACCAATTGGTTAGTGACAGTATACCAATTGGTTAGTGACAGTATACCAATTGGTTAGTGACAGTATACCAATTGGTTAGTGACAGTATACCAATTGGTTAGTGACAGTATACCAATTGGTTAGTGACAGTATACCAATTGGTTAGTGACAGTATACCAATTGGTTAGTGACAGTATACCAATTGGTTAGTGACAGTATACCAATTGGTTAGTGACAGTATACCAATTGGTTAGTGACAGTATACCAATTGGTTAGTGACAGTATACCAATTGGTTAGTGACAGTATACCAATTGGTTAGTGACAGTATACCAATTGGTTAGTGACAGTATACCAATTGGTTAGTGACAGTATACCAATTGGTTAGTGACAGTATACCAATTGGTTAGTGACAGTATACCAATTGGTTAGTGACAGTATACCAATTGGTTAGTGACAGTATACCAATTGGTTAGTGACAGTATACCAATTGGTTAGTGACAGTATACCAATTGGTTAGTGACAGTATACCAATTGGTTAGTGACAGTATACCAATTGGTTAGTGACAGTATACCAATTGGTTAGTGACAGTATACCAATTGGTTAGTGACAGTATACCAATTGGTTAGTGACAGTATACCAATTGGTTAGTCCAATTGGTTAGTGACAGTATACCAATTGGTTAATGACAGTATACCAATCGGACATAAAATATTATTTCATTCAAGCAACATTCAATAAAGTGGATTATAGCAATGTCCTAATGTCATAAAGCAATGTTATTACACAATGAAAATCTGGAACAATTGTAATTTAAAGAAAACTAAGTTAGACTTAATTGACAACAAAAAAGTAATAAACACACAACCTTAACAAAGAATAAAAACCACAAGAATCACGCTTTATAAAGATTTGTAAATAATATAAGTGTGTAACACGTACATTTAAATGATCAGGTATACACACAGGCATCAGATGTTACTTCTATAATTACATAAGGTATACCTTAAGTAGACACAAAGGGAGATAACTGCATTAACCCTTGTTTATTACTACATGAGGAATTTTACTCTGAATAAACACTCAATAAATCTGAAACCTGTACAGTTTATCTTTTTAAATTACAAATGTTTATCTCTATTAGAATAATTTTATTACATAACCAAAAATTAAATAACCGGTACTGAACATGAAAACAAGGCCCAATGGGCCCGCATCGCCAACCTGTTATTGATCTCGAAATTGTAACCTTAAAAGTGGATAAAAATAAAGCTATAGGCAAAATATCAGTGTCTTGACTCAAAGTCATTCAAAAGAACCTCGTAAAAGATTTAAACACATTTGACCCCTGTGACCTTAAAAGTCAAACAAAGACATTAAGATGAACATCCCAGCATGCTTAACTGACCAAATATCATCAACCTGGACATTTTGGTTATTCAGAGGTCTTTTAATAATTTCAACATATTTGATCCTTTGACCTTGAATATGGGTGACGGTAATTAATTTACACAAACTTGGTAGCCCTCCATCCCAGCATGCTACTGGCCAAATATCACCAACCTGGGCCTTTTGGTTACTGAGAAGATGTTGTTTAAAGTGCATTCTTGACGCTGGACGCCACACCATGGCATAAGCTCACTTGGCCCTTTGGTTTCTGGTAGAGCGCCCGTCTAGAGTTCGGAGGTACCGGTTTCTGGTAGAGCGCCCGTCTAGAGTTCGGAGGATCCAGTTTCTGGTAGAGCGCCTGTCTCGAGTTCAGAGGTACCGGCTTCTGGTAGAGCGCCCGTCTAGAGTTCGGAGGTACCTGTTCCTGGTAGACCGCCCGTCTAGAGTTCGGAGGTACCGGTTTCTGGTAGTGCGCCCGTCTAGAGTTCGGAGGTACCGTTTTCTGGTAGAGCGCCCGTCTAGAGTTCGGAGGATCCAGTTTCTGGTAGAGCGCCTGTCTAGAGTTCAGAGGTACCGGTTTCTGGTAGAGCGCCCGTCTAGAGTTCGGAGATACCGGTTTCTGGTAGAGCTCCCGTCTAGAATTCGGAAGTACCGGTTTCTGGTAGAGCACCCGTCTAGAGTTCGTAGGTACCGGTTTCTGGTAGAGCGCCCGTCTAGAGTTCGGAGGTATCGGTTTCTGGTAGAGCGCCCGTCTAGAGTTCGGAGATACCGGTTTCTGGTAGAGCGCCCGTCTAGAATTCGGAAGTACCGGTTTCTGGTAGAGCACCCGTCTAGAGTTCGTAGGTCCCGGTTTCTGGTAGAGCGCCCGTCTAGAGTTCGGAGGATCCAGTTTCTGGTAGAGCGCCTGTCTCGAGTTCAGAGGTACCGGCTTCTGGTAGAGCGCCCGTCTAGAGTTCGGAGGTACTGGTTTCTGGTAGAGCGCCTGTCTAGAGTTCGTAGGTACCGGTTTCTGGTAGAGCGCCCGTCTAGAGTTCGGAGGATCCAGTTTCTGGTAGAGCGCCTGTCTCGAGTTCAGAGGTACCGGCTTCTGGTAGAGCGCCCGTCTAGAGTTCGGAGGTATCGGTTTCTGGTAGAGCGCCCGTCTAGAGTTCGGAAGTATCGGTTTCTGGTAGAGCGCCCGTCTAGAGTTCGGAAGTATCGGTTTCTGGTAGAGCGCCCGTCTAGAGTTCGGAGATACCGGTTTCTGGTAGAGCTCCCGTCTAGAATTCGGAAGTACCGGTTTCTGGTAGAGCACCCGTCTAGAGTTCGTAGGTCCCGGTTTCTGGTAGAGCGCCCGTCTAGAGTTCGGAGGATCCAGTTTCTGGTAGAGCGCCTGTCTCGAGTTCAGAGGTACCGGCTTCTGGTAGAGCGCCCGTCTAGAGTTCGGAGGTACCGGCTTCTGGTAGAGCGCCTGTCTAGAGTTCGGAGGTACCGGTTTCTGGTAGAGCACCAGTCTAGAGTTCAGAGGTACCGGTTTCTGGTAGAGAGCCCGTCTAGAGTTCGGAGGTATCGGTTTCTGGTAGAGCGCCCGTCTAGAGTTCGGAGATACCGGTTTCTGGTAGAGCTCCCGTCTAGAATTCGGAGGTACCGGTTTCTGGTAGAGCACCCGTCTAGAGTTCGGAGGTACCGGTTTCTGGTAGAGCACCAGTCTAGAGTTCAGAGGTACCGGTTTCTGGTAGAGCGCCCGTCTAGAGTTCGGAGGTCCTTAATTCCTATACTGTTCTGGCCCTAATGTGGTTTCCCTCTCCTGTATAGTACTGTATTAGTATCAGCGTAAGTGAGCTCAGTGTAAAGAAGAGACGTGTAGAAGGACATACAAACAGGAACGGCAAAAACTTCATGCCTCCTACACCAACATTACACTTATCAAATATCAAATAATGTTATGTGTTTTAAATCTTGAATCTATTCTACGAATTACCATTATGTTAAGATTCGGGTGGTGACAGTTAAGGTGTTTATGGGTCCCTTCTACAACACTAGCCTACGACTGGCAAATAAGTACAACAAAAGTTTGTGAGCTGTACATCAAGTAAGTTTACCAGCAACAACTACAGGAGGAACATGTTACATCAGTACCCTGGCAAACATCGTTCATAGTTTTTATGATGATTGGTGACATACCATCCACCCCTATCACCCTTATGACCCCCCTACCCCCTCCCCTCCCTGCTCCCAACCCCAAACCAGATAGGAGATAACAGGGTGAGTGCCAGTCCCCAGTCTAACAGTTTGTTCTACAGGCCTGAGATTCTTAATACCAGGGGATACTGCATCAATGTGTCTATATACATCATACTGATCCCAGAACAGGGTAATAAAACATCATGTCACCCTCATCCACTCAAGTTTCTCCAATCGTATTCACCTTTTTGGAACCTCTCTAGGAAAATGAGTGAGAGCCACCACAACCAAGTAATACCGAGTGACTTAATCAGACAACAGCAATGGCGCGCTAACCTGATCATCGTTACTGTTGGATTATTGTTTTGTTTAAAAAAAAAAAAAACATTCATTGCTCTGGTGGTAAGAAAACATGACTCACTGTTTGTCGTTGATAACTCATGTTTAACCCAGAATCAATCTCAGAGAAACAAAGGTTCACTGAATGTTCCAAAATATTTGTTTTTCTTATCACAACTTAATATCAAATGAAGTGATGTAAAAGTTACACAAAAATCAACAAAGATGAAAAATAGATTATCATACAATTCAATATAACAGTGATTATTGTGACCCATTGCTACAACCCACAGGTTCTGCATAAGGCATTCCAACCTTCGAAATATCAATCTCCTGACAAAAATTATGCAGTCACTGCAAGCTATTTTGAAGTGATACAAAATCTGTTTGGTAAAATTCAACCGGTTATGTGAAAAAAATCTATTTAAAGCAGTTAAAAACAGAAGAATTCAAGGTGACAAAATGGTTGCCACTCAAACTTTCAATCCAAATATTTAAGAGGTCAATATGTTTTAGTAATTAAGAGATCATGATATATTCAAAGTATATTCAGTGCAAAAACAATGTATCTCACTTTAAGTTACTTTTTTTCCCATTTTTCAAATTAAGTGTTTCAGAATTATTTTTTTTCAGAATGAATTAATGAGTAATTAAAATGACATGAGAATTCTGCAAATTACTTGAGTATTTTGTTCACAATCTCATAAGTTACGATACCCAATAGCTATTGGGGTAGGGTGCTATTGGGGTAGGATGCTATTGGGGTAGATGCTATTGGGGTAGGATCGATGTAGGAATATTTATGCACAAACTACCAATCATCATAATCACCTACTTTCAACATAGCAACAAATCATCATCTTCATGAAACAATATGTGGTGGGGAGTGGCAAGGTTTCTTTATAAATTGTAAATAATTAAATTAATGACAATTTCTAATATCAACCAAATAATGAACAAGATGTGTAAAAAATACACTGGTACTTAAGGGTTTAGGCTACATTACCACAGTTAAACTATTTTGTGTTTGAGGTAATCAAAACAAATAACATTATACATTACTTCATGAATTACAAAAAATAACTCAAATATTGTTCTTCAAATTACAAAAAAATATCAACAACAGATCAGAATCAGAAATTACGTCTGCGTAAATGTAAGCTAGATCGAAATAATATAAAAGGTAATTAGTCTCGCGAAACATTTACCTAACAAGTCAGATTTACCACGAAACATTTACATAACAAGTCAGCTTTACCACGAAACATTTACATAACAAGTCAGATTTACCACGAAACATTTACATAACAAGTCAGCTTTACCACGAAACATTTACATAACAAGTCAGATTTACCACGAAACATTTACATAACAAGTCAGCTTTACCACGAAACATTTACATAACAAGTCAGATTTACCACGAAACATTTACATAACAAGTCAGCTTTACCACGAAACATTTACATAACAAGTCAGATTTACCACGAAACATTTACATAACAAGTCAGCTTTACCACGAAACATTTACATAACAAGTCAGATTTACCACGAAACATTTACATAACAAGTCAGCTTTACCACGAAACATTTACATAACAAGTCAGATTTACCACGAAACATTTACATAACAAGTCAGATTTACCAGTGAAAACATTATTCTGTGCTTCAAACCTTCCCCTAAATATTTAAAAATTCCAAATCAGAAAAGATATTTTAAATGTATATGTGTGATTGTGTAACTCTTTTGTGTGGAGAAGTTACAGGTAAGGGTAAGGTAGTATGTGTCCTTAAGTGAACAGAGAGGAAATGACATAAACTACATATTGGCCTTTTCTGTTAAAATGAACAATACAGTTGGATTATAACTATTCCATTACAAAGGGTAGATATGGGTCTGATGAAATGTTTTGGGAGTTTGCCTATATTCTTTGTTAGGCTTGCAGCAGTGGCGACAGATAAACACTAATTTACTCCAAACAAACAATTTGTTGATACAACTGTCTGATCTGGACCACATCAACCAAAACAGTTCTTATGGTTGATGAGGAATGATGGAGACATTGATTTAAATAAAACTGTCAATCTTCGGTCAGATTTCCTCCTGTAATAATTCCCACACTGACTGAAAATAAAACTGAAGGCGGACAACATGAGGCCAGACAAACCACATTAATTGTTTCCTGATACCTGACCAATCCTACAAACCCTGCAATCAAAGCACAACATATTGGCCCATGTGTGGTCACAAACAGTCAAGTTAACATATTATCACATGTGTGGTCACAAACAGTCAAGTTTACTTATTAGCCCATGTGTGGTCACAAACAGTCAAGTTTACATATTAGCCCATGTGTGGTGACAAACAGTCAAGTTAGCATATCATCCCCATGTGTGGTGACAAACAGTCAAGTTAACATATTGGCCCATGTGTGGTGACAAACAGTCAAGTTAACATATTGGCCCATGTGTGGTCACAAACAGTCAAGTTAACATATAGGCCCATGTGTGGTCACAAACAGTCAAGTTTACATATTGGCCTATGTGTGGTCACAAACAGTCAAGTTAACATATTATCCCCATGTGTGGTCACAAACAGTCAAGTTAACATATTTTCACATGTGTGGTCACAATCAGTCAAGTTTACTTATTAGCCCATGTGTGGTCACAAACAGTCAAGTTTACATATTAGCCCATGTGTGGTCACAAAGAGTCAAGTTAGCATATTATCCCCATGTGTGGTGACAAACAGTCAAGTTAACATATTGGCCCATGTGTGGTCACAAACAGTCAAGTTAACATATTGGCCCATGTGTGGTCACAAACAGTCAAGTTAACATATTAGCCCATGTGTGGTCACAAACAGTCAAGTTAACATATTAGCCCATGTGTGGTCACAAACAGTCAAGTTAACATATTAGCCCATGTGTGGTCACAAACAGTCAAGTTAACATATTAGCCCATGTGTGGTCACAAACAGTCAAGTTAACATATTAGCCCATGTGTGGTCACAAACAGTCAAGTTAACATATTAGCCCATGTGTGGTCACAAACAGTCAAGTTAACATATTAGCCCATGTGTGGTCACAAACAGTCAAGTTAACATATTAGCCCATGTGTGGTCACAAACAGTCAAGTTAACATATTAGCCCATGTGTGGTCACAAACAGTCAAGTTAACATATTAGCCCATGTGTGGTCACAAACAGTCAAGTTAACATATTAGCCCATGTGTGGTCACAAACAGTCAAGTTAACATATTAGCCCATGTGTGGTCACAAACAGTCAAGTTAACATATTAGCCCATGTGTGGTCACAAACAGTCAAGTTAACATATTAGCCCATGTGTGGTCACAAACAGTCAAGTTAACATATTATCACATGTGTGGTCACAAACAGTCAAGTTTACTTATTAGCCCATGTGTGGTCACAAACAGTCAAGTTTACATATAGGCCCATGTGTGGTCACAAACAGTCAAGTTAGCATATTATCCCTATGTGTGGTTACAAACAGTCAAGTTAACATATTGGCCCATGTGTGGTCACAAACAGTCAAGTTAGCATATTATCCCCATGTGTGGTCACAAACAGTCAAGTTTACATATTAGCCCATGTGTAGTCCCAAACAGTCAAGTTAGCATATTATCCCCATGTGTGGTGACAAACAGTCAAGTTAAACATATTATCCCCATGTGTGGTGACAAACAGTCAAGTTTACATATTAGCCCATGTGTAGTCCCAAACAGTCAAGTTAGCATATTATCCCCATGTGTGGTGACAAACAGTCAAGTTTACATATTAGCCCATGTGTAGTCACAAACAGTCAAGTTAGCATATTATCCCCATGTGTGGTCACAAACAGTCAAGTTAACATATTGGCCCATGTGTGATCACAAACATTCAAGTTAACATATTAGCCCATGTGTGGTCACAAACAGTCAAATTAACATATTGGCCCATGTGTGGTCACAAACAGTCAAGTTAACATATTGGCCCATGCATAGTCACAAACAGTCAAGTTAACATATTGGCCCATGTGTGGTCACAAACAGGCAAGTTAACATATTAGCCCATGTGTAGTCACATGCAGTCAAGTTAGCATATTATCCCCATGTGTGGTTAGCCCATGTGTGGTCACAAACAGTCAAGTTAACATATTGGCCCGTGTGTGGTC